TTCTAAGTATTTAAACCATTTCATGGGCACGACATTCCAACTGTGTGTTTTTTAAGTACTGCCATACTATTTAGATATATAAAGATGTTTTGCTCAATTCAAGTTTGTCAAATATTTGTTTTTGAACGATTTCATGTTATTTCACTAGTATTCATAGAAATTAAAAGTGTACAGTTCCAAGGATACCGGATAGTCTTTTTTTTTCTTCTTTTTTTGTGGCTTTTCAAAGGCAACCTTAAGGTTAAAAGTCACCATAATCATAATTAAACAAACAGTTTGAAGGCAGAGATTGGGTCTTGCTCCCTGCTACCCCTCAGTGTCTGGTTTATGATAGTTAGGCTTTCAATAAATATTTGTGGAAGGAAGGAAGGAAGGAAGGAAGGAAGGAAGGAAGGAATATTCCACTCAATCTAATTAAGAGCATGAAAAAATGTTTCAAAATTGTATCCTTTGAAGAGCTAGGTAGATTTGCATGGATAATCAGGAGCACAGAGAATAAAATGTGTTGGTGGCCCATCATCTGTGTCTTCCTTTCTCCTCTGTTAGAAACCCTTTGGTCAAATTCTTTGACCTTCCACAGGGAGCAGTTTTCAGACAGAAAATGTGCTATTTTCCTGAACTTTATTATTATTGTGTCCCTCCTCAAACTCTAGGCCCTGGATTTCCGTCAAAGCCTTTTGGTTTGTTAAATAGAGAACCAAGCAGAAAAAAGATTGAGGCATACCAAGTGTCTGGTGCCTTCCCTAGGGCTCAGAATGTAATCAGTAAATAGTTAGTACCCAAATACCGACCAGTCATGTTGTTTTACCCAACTTTCCTTGGTAATGAAAGAATTGTGTTGTGATAAAAATACCTACAGCTACTCTATAGCGCATTAAGGATAAACTTCCTTGGAGATGAATCACAAAAAGACTATCTGTGGGGTGTCTTCTTTGATCACATATAGCCCATGTTAGACTGGGGACAGAGGCAGTGCTGTAATTACATGCCACCTGGAAATGTGGCTAGAGTTTTAACAGGTAGTAAAATTATAATAAATGATTAAAAGGCATAAAGCCTTTGTAGATGAAAAGCCCAAACAGGAATAGAAATGCTGGTGTTATTTTCCAATAAATGTTGACTTTGGGTGGCTGTAACTGTCAAGGGCAGCCCCCTGTGAGGTTCCCTAGGGTTAAATTCACAGCCGTCCACAGGCACTTCCACAGGCCCATATTTCTTAAAGAGAACAGATGGTTAGGGGAGGGCCTAGACACAGAAGCAGATTTATCTTGTCAGGCTGTTATCTCCAGGTAAATGACCTTAAGCAGGTCACAAATGGTCACATGACAACAATGTGGTTCAGAGGTGTCCTAAGGTGACAGCCATTCATTAACTCTTCCCTCTCAAGGTCCCACAAGCTCTTTTGGGACAGGCATATAGCAGTTTGCTGTAGCTGCTGCTGTGTGTGTGTGCGTGCATGTATTTTAAGGCAAAATGCCTGATGAATGAGTGCCAGTGAAGGTCTATGTATTCAAAAACATTTCATTGCTTCAATGTTATGTGGACATCCTGGAATCTTTTATTCCATAGACTTAACTGATAGAAATCCTACCTTTAAGGGGACAAACGAACAGTTTCACAGGTAGCCAAGGCTGAGCACCAGCCCTGCTGGAGAGCCCAGGGCTCTAAGGGGCTGCAGGGCCGAGCCAGCGCCTCCACTGGTTACGTCACAATCACAGCAGCCTGTGGGGTCTGAACCTTCTTTGTGCCTGAGAAAACATGGTGGGAGAAACAGAATAATTTTCTGGGGTTTTTTGGGGTGTTTTTTCCTGGAGGCCTTGTTGTCAGGATGCTTTTCTTTTTGTGTGTTGTCAGTGCATTTTGCTGCGTGAAATACATGCCCTTTTGTGATTTGTCCCCATTATGAAAGCCGGAGCCCTTGCCCTTTCAGCGAGGATCAGATTGTGTGCAGCGCAGCGGACCTCAGAGAGCCTGTGAAAGGCTGACCTAGTCAAACCTCCGCCTGGCGACGGTCTTGCTGTGAAAAGTCACATCAGAGAGCTCAAGTTGCCTGGATCTGCCTCCCTGATTTTTTTTTTTTTTCTGTTACTTTATTCAATTTGTTTTTCCAAATGTGCTACTTTTTCTAAAGCCATTTCCCCAGTTCCTCTCCACTGAAATGTTCATACTTCTCTACATTTCTTTGCCAGGCACTGGAACCCTGAAAAATCCCTAATATAGACACAGAAGATGGGGGGGGGGGCGCTGTTCTAGAATTGGCCTCAGGATTTTCTAGGATGTTCAGAGTTTGTCTGATGTCAGATCAATTTCTCCTCCCCATCCTGAGCCATTCTAGAGGGGGGCACTGAAATGGATGCCAGTGAAAATCAGATGGTGTAGCTTTATTATTTNGTCTGATGTCAGACCAATTTCTCCTCCCCATCCTGAGCCATTCTAGAGGGAGGCACTGAAATGGATGCCAGTGAAAATCAGATGGTGTAGCTTTATTATTTTAAAAAAAATACATATACATGTGTGTGTATATATACACACATGTATAGGTATAAATGTTGTTTGACTTTATNAAAAAAAAATACATATACATGTGTGTATATATACACACATGTATAGGTATAAATGTTGTTTGACTTTATGAACAAGAAATATACATATATTTATTGCTTGATTCTATGAGCAAGGAAGCTCTACTGCACTAGGAGTTAAAGACTGTTTCACAATTTCCAGTGGAACCTTATTTTTTATTAATGCCAAGCATAATTTTCTAACTCACCTACAAGTCTAACTAAGAACAGAAAGCACCAGAAAGATTCTTCCTTAAGAATCACTGTGAACCGGGTTCGAGCAGTATGGCAGACTAGACGGTCACAACAGGAAACCTTCCCAGGACAGTACAAGTAAAATACTGGATACAGTAAAAGGGGGCAAAAACACATTTTTAAATGCTTGGTTCAGCTGGTGGGAAAGTAAAGGACCTGCTCAGAAACAAGAAAGCAGACAAAATGAGGAATAGAGGGAAACCCAGAACTATCATCGTCCTGGGGGGTCTTAATGGGCCCATAGTAGAGAGTCAGGGCCGGATAGGGCAGGAGACAAGGAGACACAGGCTGAGCCAGCGCATAAAGGAAGCACTCCTCTCATCCCAAACCACACCCATGCGAATAAACGAGTTAAAAACTGCCTCACAGACGGAGTCTTCGGAAATTATGTCTTTCTGAGTCTTGTCTTCTGGTGAAAGGGAGGCAGGCTGGGAAAAAGTCTCTTCTGAGAATCCAAAACCACAACCTGCACTCACTGGGTTTAGGGGCCAGAATTCACAGCACCTGTGTGGTTCTAAACCCTTCGCGTCAAAAGTTTAGTTTTAAAAGTCACAATAAGGCCCGGCCGGGCATGGCTCAGCAGTTGAGCGTCGACCTAGGATCCAGGCGATCAGGGTTCGATTCCCGATCAGCGCACATGCCCGGGTTGTGGGCTCGATCCCCGGTCGGGGGTTTGCAGGAGGCAGCCGATCAATGCCTCTCTCACCATTGATGTTTCTGTCTCTCTCTCTCCCTCTCCTTTCCTC